ATTGTGGTGTGGCCATCCTCCCTGGGGGAGTGATTTCTCGCTTTCCATCTCTCTGTCTCTCTCTGTCTTTCTGGAGAGTGCACGTGCCCTATAGCAAAAACTCTCCAAAAAAAAAAAAAAAGATTAAGATAGTAAATTTCATGTTATGTGTATTTCAGCACAATAAAAGAAAGCAAATACAGCATTGAGCTCACTGTTACTGATTGTGTGGGTAGATGAGTGGGGTTAAGAGGGTGGAAAGAGAACTGAGGCTCTGGCCTCAGAGAGCCTGTGGTCTAGACAGGAATATAGAGTGTTAACAAAGCAAGAAGATAATGGGATAAAGCAAGGCTCATTGCAACTCCAGTTTAGCTGAGGTCAGACGTCCCTTGAGATTAAACAAAATTGGCTGGAGCCCCATTCTTCCTCATGTGGGAAGCCCGATGCCCTTCAAAGTTTCCTGTAAGTCCCAGGGGCCTCTGTCCTCTCTGTGTCCCCAGGACTTGGGTTCCTGTTCTCCCCGAGGCAACTAGAACTATCTTTCCTTGTTTGCGTCCAAAACTTTGCAGCCAACTTTAATGGCGTGGTGTGGTCAACAAGGCAGGCCACAGGGACCTAGATCCTGGTCAGCCCTGGGCCTCCAGGTCCTTAGGTCTCCCAACTTTGAGACCTCCCTGGCCACCTCTCCTCACGGACCCTAGTTCTCCAGTTGAGTGCTTGGCTCCCTCACCCTATAGTCCGCTTTCCAGGCCCGCCTTGGGGCACCGCAGGAATTCAGTTTCCCTTACGGTGTCATTTGGAGCAATGGAGCCTCCATTCCTGTTTCCACGGAACTCCTTGTACTTGGATAGATTCGTTAACGTGGCATGCTAAGGAAGGGTCATCTGCCTTTCAAATTGTGTACCAAGTGCAACCGATATTCGTTCCCAGAATCAAATAATTTTTTGAAAGAGGCTTTCTTCTTAGGATCTTGGCTTTTACTGCAAAGAAAAAAGCCTTTCATTTTAGTCTGCTGTCTCCCCTTCTCCAACCAGCCTCTCCAAGGAAGGAAATAGTACAGGGATTTGTTTTTCCACGAATAGACATTATGCTTTCCTTCTTGCAAAGCTCACGTCATTACAATGACTTTGAGTTTTAAATGGCATTATTTTCTGACTGGGCTCCATGTGTTATACGCACGGTCTCATTCATTCATTCATCAAACAGATGTGATAGGATTTTTTTTTCTTTTTTTTTTTTTTTTTTTGAGAGGTTTTTACTATAGGGCAAGTGCGCTCGCTGGAAAGACAGAGACAGAGAGACAGAAAGCGAGAAATCACCCCCGGGGCCACACCGCAATTCCTTCTCCATTCTCCTCTCGGCAGGATCTTGGACACGCACACACGTGCGCCCGGCATGAGTTTAAGCCACCGGGTCCAGGACTCGAACCGTGGTCGACTACATGGGAGTCCAGCGACATAGCCATTACACCAACTGCTGGTCCCAACAATAGAGTTTCTTTCTGTTGTTGTTGCTTTGCCTTTGTTTTATTTTTTTAGATTGCCAGAGGGTATGCACACTCCCAGAGAGAGGGGCAGAGAGAGAGAGAGAGAGAGAGAGAGAGAGAAAGCACTCCTCGTGGGCACGGCAATGCTGTAATCTCTTCTCCATTTCTCCATCTCGTTGGGATTTGGGGCATGCACACACAGGCACCCTGTATGTTTTTCAAGAAGCCAGGGCCAAGATCTGAACAGTAGTCAGGTGTGTGGGATCCGGCTGCATCAACCAGCAGGCCATGGAGCCAAGCCAAGGAAGGCGGAGTCCATGTGGGTTAGAATGATCAGGTGTGGCTTCATGGGAGAGGTGAGAAATGGCTGGGGTGTCATGGTGGGGAGGAGGGGAATTTCGTTAGACCAAGGTGAGGGGCAAGGCGGGCAGCAGTAGGAGTGGGGGCTGACGGGTGCAGGGAATCTCTAACCCTTCGGTCAGCTCAGAACCCTCCGCCCAGTACACAGTCCTGGCCGCACCAGGCACTGCGCTCAAGTGGCGAACAGACCCAGGTGATTCTGGTGGAGTGAGAGAAATGGTAGAAACATAGGGTCACAGGGAGGGGAGAGGGGTGCTGCCTCCAGGAGACCAGGAGAGGCTGCCAAGAGAGAGCGACATTTAAGCTGAGACAGGAAGAATGTGTGGGTGATGGTGAGAAGCAGTGTTTCCAGCAGAGGAACACTGTTGATGAAATCCCTCGTCCAGAGAGCCTGGTAAGGAAACGAAGGCGTCTGACTCGGTGAGCGTGAGGGCGGGAGGTAGGGAGTGGTGAGCGATGAGGTGGGGACCAGCAGGTGCAGGACAGGCGTGCGGGGCAGGCTGGGTCTTGGAGGCCCTGAGGGAGGAAGGACGTGATCCTGGGGACAGCAGGAAACGCGAAGGGGTTTTTAGCAGTGAAGCAACAGGACCAGGTCATGGAAGGCGTGGGCTGGGCATGGAGGGAAAATTGAAGGGAGGAAAATGGGTAGCAGAGGAGGCGTTTAGGACTGGGTTGCGGCAATTCCCCGACGCCGACGCCTGGCTGAACGAAGGCGTGGCTTGAAAAGACACTCCATGCTAGGGCATGAATGGGTGTGATGGAGCTTGGGACTCCCAATGGGAATGGTGGAGCCCAGAGGACTGACTTCCGGACAGATCAGGGTGGCTCTGGCGCCACGGCCTGGAGGAACCAACTAGTTAGAGCCGGAGTTACCAAGGGGTCTCTTCTCTCCAAGATGGGGTGCTGCACCTTATGTCTTCCCCAGGGCAAAACAGGTGTTCCTGGCGGGTGGGGTGACATCGTGTTTACCCATGAAACAGCCCTTTGTCAACGCCCCCCCAGTCCTTGGAGGAGAACACCGGAGGAGGCACTCGACTGTCTCCT